ACATTTAATGGTGTTCGTAATTCAAACTTATTTTCTCTCGAACCGTTTATGAGTGAAAAGGCAAAACTTAATCTCTCTATATAACAGGACCCTAGGCCCTTATAACCGAAGGGGAAAAAGATCATAAATTTCTGCAGACAATCGGACACGTTTAAAAGTTACCATTTCGCCTTTTTTTCTTCTTAATTTACCTTCATGTACCTTATTTTCTTCTTCAGTTTCTTCCCTTGAGCTTCTTTCTTGTGAGCGAGAATGTGAATTTATGAACTTATATTAACTAATCTAACCCTCTCTCCGAAAAAATTAACCCTTCTTTGATAAAAAAGAAACAAAATATGATTAAGATACGCGATAACTGATGAATCTGGCTGCGCATTTGCCATTTAGCCGCGAAAAAATATTTCCACAACAGCCTCTTCTCGCCAGGGCATTTTTAAAGGCATCCCTAAGGCTGACTAATTCCCTCCAAGGCATTTCCGTAGGCTGACATAGGCCTATCCATGCACGGGGCAGCTTTGTGCGAGTTTCCACACAGACAATAGCACGCCGAAGTGACTGACCTGTTTATAGCCACTTCGAATTGTTGTATGGGATTTGTGCTTCTCTGGTCAGGAAACGTCGCCGCAGAGGAAGTGAGGAAAGAGAGAGAGAGAGAGAGAGAGAGAGAGAGAGAGAGAGAGAGAGAGAGAGAGAGAGAGAGAGAGAGAGAGAGAGAGAGAGAGAGAGAGAGAGAGAGAGAGAGAGAGAGAGAAAGAGAGAAGAGTAAGAGTGAAAGAAAGAGGCAAAGAGAGAGAGAGAGACCAAAAAGACAAATCAGAGATAAAGACAGAGAACGAGGAAAAAAAGCTAAATGAAAAGAAAGAAAGAATATAGCAAGATAGAAAGAAAGAAGATATAAAGAGAGAAAGAAAGAACGAAAGAGAGAGAGGGACTAAGCTACGGAAAGGAAAGGGTAGGGCCCTTAACACTAATGGCGCATATTAATAACACGGAGGTAAGCACAGCCAAGCCCCGAGCGAAAATTACTTGGAAAATGTGAAGCGAAAGACATTGGGAAAATATATTACGAGCCGAACGTAAAAGAAAAAAAAAGGAAAAAAAAGAAAAGAAAAATAACATAATATATCTTTTTGAAACGTAATAGACGATACGAATCGATGATGCAGGAAATTTTATTTTTGTTATAGACATTTGTTTTATAAGTGAAGTTTAAAGTTATTGAGTGGGAGGAAGGAAAGAAGTGGGGAGAAGGAAAGGAAGAAAGAGAAAGAGAAAGATAGATAGATAGATAGGTAGATGTATACAGAGAGAGAGAGAGAGAGAGAGAGAGAGAGAGAGAGAGAGAGAGAGAGAGAGAGAGAGAGAGAGAGAGAGAGAGAGAATAATAAACATATGAACAAACAAATGAACAAACAAATAACTAAACATACAGAAAGAAAAACGAGAGAAAAAACAAATCAAAATAAAAAGAAACAGACACAGAGGTGAACTGCATACATCGACCATAAAAGAGTAAAACACAAAAACAAAAAGAAAAACAAGAACCCAACAATTAAACAACAACAAAAACACAAAACATAAAAAACACCAGCCCAGCAGGTCATGAGTCACAATCCGCAGGTCACAGGTCACGGGTCGAGACCAGAGGGAAGGAAGGGTACAGACCAAACTGCGATAACGGTTCGTCACAGGACAGTTGAAGTAAATTACGAATGATGAGGTCCAGGAAGTGAGGCAAGAAAGGGGGGCGGGGGAATGGAATGCGATGGATGGAGGAGAGAGACGAGGAGGAGGATGAGAGGATAAGGGCAGGGAGGAGGAGGAGGAGGAGGAAGAGGAGGTAGAGGATGAGAGGATAGAGGAATAGAAGGAGATGGAGGAGGAGGAGGAGAAGCAGAAGGTAGAAGAGGAGGAGGAGGAAGAGGATGAGAGGATAGGGGCAGGGTGGAGGAGCGAATGATGGGGAGGAAGAGGAGAAGATATGGGAAGAGAAGGAGGAGGAGGAGGAGGAGGAGGAGGAGGAGGAGGAGGAGGAGGAGAAGAAGAAGAAAGAGGTGAAAGAGAAGGAGGAGGAAGAGGAAGAGGAGGAGGAATAAGAGGAGGAGGAGAGTAAGGAAGGGAAGAAGGGAGAAAAGAAGAGAAGGTGGAAGAAACAAAATAGGAAGGACAAGGGAGATTTGGAGGAAGGGAAGAAGAAAAATGAAGAGAGGACAGGAGAGAGAGAAAGAGAGAGAGAGAGAGAGAGAGAGAGAGAGAGAGAGAGAGAGAGAGAGAGAGAGAGAGAGAGAATAATGGTGTAGATAGACGAGAGAAAATAAAGAACAGAGGGACAAGGAAACGAGAAAAGTAGATAGAGAACCGCGAAGAAAATAAGAAAATAAAAGAATGAAAAGGAAAGGAAATATGAGAAGAAAAGTGGACGGAAAGATAACAGAAGGAAGGAAGTAACAGAGAAATAGACATGAATTTAAGATTAGTTTCGTAGCGTGGTGTAAGGTGGACTGTGGAGCGGTGGAAGCGGGGGGGGGGGGGGGATAAAAATTCCTTACACGAAGGAAAGTTTTTTTTCTGTTTTCACGATCATTATAATTATAAAAAACCTGCTTCATTATTATTGCTATCGCTGCTGTCTTACAAGTGACACCAATACCATGATAACGGTGATAACAAACTATATTTAAGCAATGAGAATAATAATAACTAAATCGTTACCATAGCAACCATCATGATTCTTACCTAACAAAAAAATTCCTCCTGATTTTTTTTTTTACATTCATCACCCCTTCCGCAAAACAACAAACAAACACAAACAAACAAATTGTTCCGTTCTTCTATAACATTATAATATTCCTCTCTGGACACGTGAGTGAGTTATCGATAACTGGCTCATTAGCATACACCTGTTAATTAGTTTGCGTTCGAACTCAGGTCATGGCGTTTGTTTGTTTGTCTGTTTGTGACCCAATTCTAACTTGGTTTCAGTCCAACTGTTGCCATGACACGCAACGGCGGTCCAGTATTGATAGACGAAAAAAAAATATTGGTCATTTCTATTTTTTTTATTTGGAGTTAGTCATTAACGATTATGAATTGTAAATGAATTATTCATTTATTCATCTGATATCATTATTACTTATTATCATTACCATGATAGTAGTAATATTACTATTATCATCATCATCATTATTATTATTAGTAGTAGTAGTAGTAGCAGTATCATTATTATTGTTATTATGATCATTACTACTATAATTATTATTACTGTTATCATTATTATCATTATCATTACTTTTATCATCATTATTATTAGTAGTAGTAGCAGTAATATCATTATTATTATTATTATTATTATAATTATCATTATTATCATTATCATCATTATTATCATCATTATTTATTCTATTATTATTATCATTATCATTACTATTATCATTATCATCATTATCATAAATATCATTATTATCATTACTATTATCATTATTAATATTATCATTATCAGTCCATCTTTATTCGGCTACTTTCCAGACTATAACGAAAAAACAGTTATCCTCATTGTTATTTTCACCTACCGTGTTATTTCAGCCTTACTACACGATGATCATGCGTAAATAAACAGGCATGAATTTCTTTGCAATAAGAGTCAGATAGTTCGTGCTCTGTAAACTTGACCGCTTGACCGGCCCCTTTTCTTCCTTCCTCCCCTCCTCCCCCCTCCCCTTCCCTGCCCCCTTACCTTCCTCCCCTCCCCCCCCTTCCCTGCCTCCTTACCTTCCTCCCCTCCTCCCCCTCCCCCCCTCCCCTGCCCCCTTACCTTCTCCCCCTCCTCCTTCCCTGCCCCCTTACCTTCCTCCCCCCTCTCCCGTGTTACCTTCCCCCCTCCCCTCCTCCCTCTCCCCTTCTCTCCCGCCGCTCTTACCCTCCTCCCCTCCCCTCCCTTCTTACCTTCCCCCCTCTCTCGTCTTACCTTCCTCCCCTCCTCCCTCTCTCCCCTCCCCTCCTACTCCCTCCTTCTCTTTCCTCTCCCCTCTTACCTTCCTCCCCTCCTCCCCTTCCCTCTTACCCTTCTCCTCTACCCCTTTCATCGCCTCCTTTCCTTCACACTCCACCTCCCTCTCTCTTTCTCCGACCCCCCCCCCCTTCCCTTTCAGAAAGGGGAGAAGCAGAAGAGGAGGGAGGGAAGGGCGAGGAGGAAGATAAGGAGGAGAAGGAAGAAGAAGAGAAAGAAGGAGAAGAAGAAGAAGAAGAGGGGGAGGGAGATGGGGACAGGAGGAAGAAGAAGAGAAAGAAAATTAGGAAGGGGTGGTGGAAGAGAAGAAAGAAGAGTAGGAAAATGGGCAGAGGAGAAAAGGAAGAAGAATAAGAAAATAAGGAAAAATAAGATTATAAAGATACGGATAAGAGGAACAAGGGAAATGGAGAAGCTCGTAAAGAACAAATCGAGGGAAGAGGAGGAAGAGAAGGAAGAGGAATTCAAATACAAAAAATATTTATTTGGTAACCCCCCACCCCCCGCCAAAAAATAAGTAATTTCCAAAAATACAAATGATGGGCTGGCCATACGGCCTACGTTCATTACTAACACACAAAAAATGTGGTTCCTTCATAGTTCATCCCGAATTTTCAAGTAGGCCTATATCATGGTCTCTATTGTTCCCATTGCATTTACTATAATATTCACACATTTCATGCCGTTAGCACTTTGATATAAGACGTAAGAACTATGCCTTTACTTGTGAAAAATACAACGAATATGCTGTTGTGCCTATTATCAACTTCGTAACAGTTCGTAACAGGTTAGATGTAAGCTAACACGTGGAAAATAGTTACATAGGCCTATTAACTTAGAGCTACTTTAGAATAGTCCTGTCTGCCTGAGAACTACCAGTTAGAGCACTCGCATCCTCTCAGAATATGCCATTAGCCTGCAGCGCTGCACGGCCGCTCAGAATAAGCCTCCGCACGCCACGAGCTGCATAGGCCTATAGGCCTACCGCACCCACCTGCTCAACGAAGACGGCCGTGGGGTGCTGGTCGTCCCTCGCCCAAGCCGTGGCCGACAGGATGATCAGGAGTCCGGACGAGGCCATGGACAGGATGGCGACGCACATGAAGCTCACGACGTACACATGGGCGTAGGGGCGGCGAGATGCACACACGCCCAGGAAGCCCGAGACGCCCACCACGGCGCCCGCCCACATGCCGGCGCCGAGGGGCGAGAGGGCGGCCTGCAGGATGAGGGCCAAGGCGCCCAGTGTCACCATGAAGATGGCCAGCAGGAGCTTGAGGATGCCAAGGGACATGGCCAGCTTGGCGGGGAAGAAGTGGCCCCGAGGGTCCACGGCGCCCGAGACGGAGCGGAGGGAGCGCCAGGTGAGCGCCCCTCCGCCCGCGCCGCCCGCGAGGCCATGGCTCGTGCCCCGGCTGCTGCTCCCGCCCGTGGTCGTGCCCCTGCCCATGCCGCTGCTGCCTCCTGCCCCGCCCAACAGCACGTCCCTCAGAGAACCGCCTCCGCCACTCACGCCCATGGTCAGGTGCTGCCTCTGATTCCTATTTCCCCGCGCCTTCTGCAGGAGGCTGCGGCACTGCTTCGTCTAAATTCCTTTTTGCTTATTGGAGAGGGTTGGTCACGAGCGCTACTTTTCCGTTAGCAGGTCATTTGCGCGCCAAAGCATGCCGCCAACAACAAATAAACGTTTTAAAGCGGATAGCTAAACAATCAGTATAAAAAGCACGTTCCTCGTATTGTCACTTTTAATGAAACCACCAAATATCGTATCGTAAACAATAATAAAACACACACAAAAAAAAACAGATCAGAAAGACTTCATTACAGTGTTTACACCGGGTGTAAGTTTTCACTCAAGAACCACCGGGAGAGCGCAGCGTAACACCTCCCTCGCCAACGTCTCACAGAACACTGCCTGAGCCGACGTCATTCACGCGCTGTGTCAGGTGCCTCCTCCCACCCCCCCGTCTCTCCCCCCCTTCCCAGGTGAGTCTCCCCCCCAATAGCGGTCTGTGTCAGGTGCCTTCCCCCCCACCCCCACACTCCTTCCTTCCGCCTCCCCCTTCCCCTTATCGCGGTCTGTGCCAGTTGTCTTTCCCCCCTCCCCCCCCTTTCCTCCCCCTTCCTACCCCAATAGCGGTCTGTCAGGTGCCTTTCCCCCCAATCCCTTTCCTCCTTCTGCCTTCTCCCTCTATCCCCCTCCTCTTTTTCCTCCCCCCCCTTTTTTTCTATTCTCGCTCCCTTATTCCTTTTTTTTCCCGAACCCCCTACCCTCTTCCTCATTCCTCCCTTTCCCTCTCTGTTCCTCCTTCCGCCATCTTCTCTCTCTCTCTCTCTCTCTCTCTCTCTCTCTCTCTCTCTCTCTCTCTCTCTCTCTCTCTCTCTTTCTCTCTCTCTCTCTCTCTCTCTCTCCCTCTCTCTCTGTCTGTCTCTCTCTCTCTCTCTCTCTCTCTCTCTCTCTCTCTCTCTCTCTCTCTCTCTCTCTCTCTCTCTCTCTCTCCCTCTCTCTCTGTCTCTCTCTCTCTCTCTCTCTCTCTCTCTCTCTCTCTCTCTCTCTCTCTCTCTCTCTCTCTCTCTCCCTCTCTCTCTGTCTCTCTCTCTCTCTCTCTCTCTCTCTCTCTCTCTCTCTCTCTCTCTCTCTCTCTCTCTCTCTCTCTCTCTCTCTCTCTCTCTCTCCCTTTCCGTAACCTCTCACTCCTTCACCCCATTGTAGTCGGTGTCAGGTGTTGCCCCCCCCCCTCATTTCTATCACCCTCCCCCACTCCTTCTCACCCCCTTCCTTCCTCTCCCCTTCCTCCTCTCCCCTTCTCCTTCTCACCCCCTTCCTCCCTTCCTCTCCCCCTCTCCTTCTCACTTCTTTCCTTCCTCTTCCCCATCCCCCCTCCTTCTTACCCACTATCTTCCCGTTTCCCCCTTCCCCCTTTCGGCGTTGTGTCTAGCGCTCTTCTTGTCCCCTCCCCCCTTTCACATTTCCCTCCCCTCCCCCCTTCTCCGGTATACACATACTTTCACGTCAGTTTATCATGAAATTATATTAACGAATATATGGCGTTTTATGTCATATATTTTTTGTTTTCTTATTTCGTGTTGTCATATTCTCATTTTCAGTCTTGATATTCGTGCTTCTAGAATTAGGAATGATTTCTTATACATACATATATACATATATATGTATATATACTTGTAAAGGTACACACAAACGCACACACACACACACACTCACACACACACATACACACACACACACACAAACACACACACACACACACACACACGCATAAATATATACATATATATATATATATATATATATATATATATATATATATATATATTCCTATATTCTTATACGAACATGATGAAAACTATAAACACGCGCATTCAGCACTGATATGCTACTACCCAGTTCATCATCAACAAGGTTTATTAATATCTAACAACGCAAACCCTTGACTTGAATACAAAAAACAAAAAAAACAAAAACAAAAAAGAAATAAACAACCGTGACATTTTCCTCAACCACGTACGACAAAATTACCTGAAATGCCATTATAGTTTTTCTCTCATATTTTTCTTACGTTCGATTTTTTTCGTATGGTTTCGTAGAACGTGTCGTCTGGTTAAGATGTCTGGCTGAAGAATGTACTTGGAATTTTGTCTAATCATTCAGGGAATGTACCAGATATATGAGACTCGTGTATAAAGGATACGGCAATACATTTTAATTATTTTAATACTTTCTTACGTTGGTTGAAAGTGCTTGGGTGTTAGAAATGTATGGTGAGGGTAATCTTTATATGGATTATACAGTGGGAAAAGGGACAAAATTGAATTTATTTATCCTTACTTGGATGTTTCTTTCTTATATGAATAACAAAATTGCAGAATAATAAAAACTAAAGTAATTCTTAAATCAAATCTAAACAGATCGTAAGAAAAAAAAAAAAACTTTTAGATTACTTATACAGTGATACAGAAAAATACATCATAAACTCGATTAAAAAGCTACACATGGGAGAGACACGAATTCAAATAACCTTTACAATAATCAAAAGAATACTTTCAAAATAAAGCAAAGCTCAGAATAATTACATACTAATCCAGGGTATTAACTTCCTTAAACGAATCAAGTTGGACCTTTTCATGACACGCAAGTTTAGAAGGTCAGGCCACACAGTCATAATGTGCGCGGACGTGATGTAGAACTTAGATAGAGTGTAATCAGTGAATACGTTCGTACATGATATACTGTAAGTCCAGCAAATCATATGATATATATCTGAGTATCGTTATATATATATATATATATATATATATATATATATATATATATATATATATATATATATATAATACTTGTATATAAATGTATATATATAGACAGACACACACACACACACACACACACATATACATATATATACATACATACATATATATATATATATATATATATATATATATATATATATATATATATATATACATACATATATATATATATATATATATATATATATATATATATATATATATATATATATATATATATATATACAGACACACACACATACACATACACACAAAATATATATATACACACATGTATATATATATATATATATATATATATATATATATATATATATATATATACATACATATATATATATAATCACTCCGCATTTGATGTAGTTTAATGAATAAATTCACATTCTTAGGCCTAATCAGAAAAAAGTTTCGAAATATATTAGTCTACCACACGAATAAAAAAAAAATCCGTTAGCACATTTTTTCTCATAATCCAGCAAACCAATAAACAAATAAACGCCACCGATTACGGAATACCTACCCCTTCGGCTGACAAAAAAAAAAAAACAATAACAAGAACAAGAACAGTAACAAGATCCAATCCCTTTTAAGGTATATAGCAGTTAGAGCAGTAACAGGATCCGATCCCCTTAACCGTAAACAAAACAAGATCGACTTGCGCAAGGGTCCAGACACGTACAAACGACGAGGCTCAATTGATACCTTTCAATCGACCTTGGGATCAATTAAAGTATTATTCCCCATTCGTTTTTTTTCTTTTCTTTTCTTTTCTTTTTTTTAATCGCCAGTGTTGATCAGTCACGATTTTTAAGGGCCGTATTTATGGGTTCGTATTTGAGGGTCTCTTCAGCCTGTTATAATGACGAAGGGGGGGAGGGGGAGGAGGAGGGGGGAGGGGGATTGACCACGCCCTTATTCATTCACTCACATTCACTTACTCACTTTCTCGTTTAACTTGTATGGAAGGAGGTTGTTTCATTAATCATTAAGAAACATGAGTTTTCTCTCTTTTCACTTTTTTCCCGCTCTCTTACCCTCCTTTCTCTTACTCTGTCTCTCTCGTTTTCTTTTTTCTTCGTTCTCTTTCGCTGTTTCTCTCTGTTTCCCTCTCCCTCTTTCTCGTCCTCTGTCTACCTCGTTCTCTTTCTCTGTGCCTTTCGTTTTCTTTCCCTGTCTCCCTCGTTCTCTTTCTCTCTCTCTTTCTCTGTCTCTCTCTTTCTCTTTCTCTGTCTCTCTCTTTTTCTCCTTCTTTCTCGTTTCTCTTTCCTTCTTTCTCGTTTACTGTCTCTCTCGCTCTCTTCTCTTTCTTTCCCCTTTTTAAATGATTAATCCGTCTAGTTCCTTGTAATTGTGCGTGTTTGTGTATGTGGATCAGTGTCTTTGGGTTTACGTGCGTTTTTATTCTCTTACGCACTAATGCATGTGTATGTGTGTATGTATGCTTCAGTATTTTTTCTTATCTCGTTTCAGTTCTTTTTGTTTACGTTATTTCTTCATAAAGGTGAAAAAAAGGACACGGATTCTGATTTTAATGCTTCCTCAAAAAGTGATCCGAGGCGATATATTCACTTACGCACGATGAATCAACTAAGAAAGCGATAAACGCATATATATTTATAAGTACATACACACATCCGCACACACACACACACACACACACACACACACACACACACACACACACACACACATTCACACACACACACACACATTCGCACACACGCATACACACACACGCACGCACACACACACACACACACACACACACACACACACACACACACACACACACACACACACACACACACACACACACACACACACATGCATATATGTATCCACGAAAACACATTCTCAAAGAGCAGCGCAGATACACAGACATCCACATGACTATCCACATATATTCACAAGTCCAGACATACACATGCACACAGGCACACCCAAACACATATATGCCCATACGTCTTGGCTCTTCTTTCATGTTGTAAACTCTTAAATAGAACTCCACATAAAATATCAAAATACCAATCGATGAAAAAAGAAACAATAAGAAAATAACTCATTGAATACATACCGAAGACTAGTTGAAAATACTTACGGTTTCTGATCAAAAGTAGTTTCTGATTATCGTGTTTTTTTCTCTCTGTGATGATAATGCTTGCTGTGTGCTAGTGTGATAACCCATTCCATCACCATTACTATATAATATCTCAAGCACGTACAGTAAAGTAGCGGTCTGAAATATATAAGTATTATGCCTAATCCTGATTTTAAAAAATTGTGGTCGTCATATTGTTTCGAGTTTTATACAACATGGAGACACTGAATTTCACTAGACCCCCAGTATCTGTACTCATTAAGTAATCAGTGTGCTCAATAACAGAACAATCAAATAATCATCATTCAGTGCTCGAAGTTTTTGGTGATTGAAAATGAGATAAAATGACGTAAGTCTTCAGCTAAGAAGCACAGTTACATGATTAAGTTCCAATGTACTTTTGGCCTATGTATGAGAACTTTGATAAAGGATTGGACAGTGTGTCTGTATACTATGCCTTGT